CTATATGAAACAGAAAAATAAAACCAAGAAGAACACATTTAATTAAGAAATCAATCCAGTTTATGAAAATAAACATATGGAAATGGTAGCAAGAATTTTCAAACCTATCTTCGATATTATTTTAAAAAGTGAATACCACTGCCACTAGATTAAAAAAAGCAGGACACTCATTCACACATACCTACAACTTGGATGGGTCTTGATACAAAACTATCATAAGATTACATTTCTGAAAGTAAATGTTCTGATTTTCAGGCAAGTTAATGAAGTTTTACCATAATATCACAAGTTGTGCAACCAGGTCAGTTATACTAGTGGTATAAAGGTAGGAAGAAAATAGTTTATCTAATTTATTCTAATAATAGAATATTGCTATCATTATTTCAGTCCCTTTTTCATGATGTTGAGGGAAGCAATCACCTCTAATTATAAACACATTTAAATCTTTAAAAAAGCCTTTTATATTTCTATCCTTAATGGAGATATGTGATATTTATGTCCTTAATGGAAATAATATAGGGAAAAACAGACAATGTAGAAAGCAAAACATGGGTTTTATGAAAAAGAATCTATAGAGCAATCATGTTGTATAATGATGACAAGATTTGGTCCTTGGCTCTTGCAAGCTGACTCTCGTCCTATATTTTCTATACTTCAAAAGGTCTTTTTCAATTATATTCTATCTTTTTCTTAACCAAGAAGATTTGTGTGGTGCATATCATGTCTGCATCAAGGTGAAATGGCTATTACAGAGATTCCAGTTAAGAAGGTCATCATTCTCTGCATGCATGAAGAGCAAATCAATCTTCTGAAGCAAAAGGAAATGCTATGTTGGATTTGGTGCTGGCAAGTAGTGTGACTATGATAGATAAAATGGCTGCTGGGGAATAACCTTGGACCAAGTGATCATGAGTTAGTCCAGAAAGATTTAATTGAATAGGCTGTTGGAAAAGTGGCTGTAACTAAGGTATTTTATTTCAAAATGGCTGATTTTGACAAGCTACAAGTTGAGTACAGATATGAACTAGACATCATTCTGTGGAATATGGATCTACATTTTTAAAAGAACATTGCACAGATAACTCACATTTTGTATTTTGTGAAAGATGAGAAAGGCTCCAAGCCCTGATTGCTTTTATTAATATGATGCATACAGGTACCACCCATTTCCAACTATTGAACCATGAATCTCTGGACCATTATGTTTTTAGCAAAGGAATCCCATTGCAGCAGAGAAAGTAGTCAGACACATCTGCAGTTTTCTTAAAACCAACTGCATAAAGAAAGATGAGCGTCATAGTAATTACACAGGGGAACTTACTGAGCTGGATATACTGACAATGTAGATGATAACTTGCATTCTTTCATTTGTACAGATGGCACTCTTGTACCATTGTAAGCCAGCTATTCTTTCTCAGAAGTTTCAGATAGTTTTACAAGTACTCTAAATTCTTTTTCAGAAAGCCCATAGCCAGTCTATAAAATTATGTCACTGTGTAAAATTATATTGCATTTGGGTAGCTATAATAAAAAAATGAAATCATTTTTTTAGAAACCTATTAAGCCAGTTTCCTAGGCTGTATGTTATGCAACTGAAGAACTGGGCACTGTTTGCAAAATCTTTCCCCTGTTCTGATCTTAAATTCTACACACACACACCCCATATACTTGCGAATTATTTATATGAAACATACTCACTTTCTTTATTTTTTTGCTTATTGAAATTGAACATGTAAAGTATCTCTGAAAAGTACAAGCTTAAGGTGATAGTTGTATGAAAATGAAGACCTAACTCTATGATAGTTCATTACTTCACATACTTGGTTAGTGTCATATCCATCAAATGATAGGTATAAACCTGCTCTACATTAGAGATAAAAAATAAACTCCCATTTCTGGTGGCCTTCAGGATGTTGGATAGACTGATGCAGAATTACTAACGTATTTACTAGAATTAGGGAGAACACACTTTACAATCCAAATAAATACTTCATACAGCCTGGTTCATTCCTAAAATGAATCAGAAAGTGATCTATAAATTAGAAGTAAATTGTGACATCTGAATCAAGATTTGTCAGGACCAATTATTTCAAACACATCTTTGTTCCTTTTGTAATGATTTAGTAGGAAATGTAGACTATAAAGAATACTGACTATACCTAGAATGGGATTAGTTGAGTGCAGTGCTCCATCTAGAATATTCATGAATCTGAACTTTTTTAAAAATCAGTTTTTCCAAGGATGTGGCATGACAACTTTCATTCTAGAAATAAGGCTTTGTTTTTAGTATACTAAAATTTTAATGGTAGGAATGCATTTTGAAAATAATAGTGCTTCAAAGGCCACTAAAATGATTTGCATAGCTTTGCTAATTTATCAACCCAGGTTTCAGGGTGGATTTCTCATGAGAAGCATTAACTTTACCATACTTAAATAAATATGGAGAAAAAACACCTTTAGCTACTATGACTGTGAGCGTGACATGCATATAGAAGTCATAAGGACAGCAAATTAATGCCTAGTGTGTTTAGTATTTAGTCTTATAAGTAACATAACTAGATAAAACACTGGAACTTAAACTTGACTGTTTCCATATTAATATTCCCACATATGCTACTTTGGAAATAAGGTTTCTACAGGGTTCTATGGTAGTTTTTGCTTTAATAATAGTGTTTAGGACAGCAGCTTAAAATACATAAGCACAAACATTTGACCATAATAACAAAAATATAGAAGGTTCTTATTAGGAAGAAGCAATGCTTTATTTCTGTTTCAACATTCTATTTTAAAAATTCCATCTAGGAGTAAAGTAGTTCTATCTTTCAGGAAAAACTGGATGGAACCATGCATGACATGAGTAAGACATTTAAATAAATGAAAAGATGAAAATGGACAACCTTGTTAAACAAACACCTTTATTACTAAGAGTAGGCAAATATGCCAAATGGAGATGCAGATAATAGATAGGCAAAAGCCATGCCATGAATTTAAATTCAAGCATCATCTTTCCATGGAAAAAGACTAATTGTATTCTGGATTTCCTATAAGGATACTGGAGTCATCCACTTGGATCAGTAATGCAAATCATAAATTGCACATGCCAGAGAATAAGGCTCTTGGACCTCAAAATAGAAGTTACATTTAAATTGATTACGGGAATTAGAGTTCAAGAAGAGATAGTTTCCTATGCAAGTATTCCTGTCTAAATATATACACTTTTAGGGGGTTGCTTTCAGTTTTTTGACTCCTGGTAAATTGCATGGTTAGTCATTGCAATTTTTTGGGCAATGTTTTTTGAAAGCAGTTTGCCATTGCCTCTCTTCCTAGGGATGAAAGACTGATTGGCCTAAAGCTAACTAACTGGTTTCATATCTAAGATGGGACTAGAATTCAAAGTTTCCCAGTTTCTAGGCACAATGCCTTAACCACTGCACCAGACTGGATCTTTGAATATTTGCATGCTCTAATTCAAAGAAAAAGTATTGACAAAGAGAAGAGTAAGAAAGAGAGACACAGGTTCAGAATGTAAGAGTCATATAATCAAAGAATTGTGTTTATTTGGCAAAGTCCATAAAAAGCTGAAAGTATATGATCTAGTTTGCAGTTATGTAAAGAACTTTACAGAAGATATGTCTAACAAGGAGTTGTAGTTCACTAGATTTTGTAAAGCTGCTTCATATCTTTCTCCAGCTGATTCTGAAATATAATTCTAGATCCACTTATTTGTAACAAACTATGGTTATTATAGAATAAACATTACAGTATTTTCAGAAGTCTGTTACTGGAGGATGTGGATATCTATCTGAAGTCACAGGGGAAAGATTACTTAGGAGGAAGGAGAATGAATCTTTCAATAATCTTAAAATTAGTAGTCAACAATGAACTGCATTGACAAAAGTTTATATATGCAGAGAAAATGGCTAAATAATAAGAAACTTGAAAACAGAAAGCATATTAGAAAATAAACTAGTAATGTATCTTTAACATGCCTAAATATACCATGAATTGACAAACTGGAATTAGGAATTTTAAATGTCAATGGGTAAATGAACAGGATTTTCTCTTTTTTTTATTTGTTTAATATTGCAAGATCCCTTTCCAACTTACAAACTAGGATACTTGAGGTTGCATACAAAGTTCAAAAGCTAACATGATTTGCAAAACAATTCAAAATCTGTATGTTTTGCTGTGTATTTGTTTATGGACTGAGATATTTCCTTAGAAGACTCAGTTTGCATTAAATAGCCATACATATTTAAATGAGTCTTTACTGAGTATATCACTTAAAGATATAAAGGCATCAGAATAAATTACAGCTATTCCATCCAGAATGAGTCAATAATTATTTACATTATAAGTATCTTTATTAATTGCTCTCTCTCTGTTTTTCTATTACTATAACACTTGGCTCATTCCTGTACCAGATGAGACACTCACCAATCTACAATATTTCTGAAATTTTTGTTTAATTATTTGGCTTCATTATTCTGGTTTCTGGTCTTTCATATCAGCTGATTACTTTATTGTAAAATTTGTGACAGCGATTTTTGTGTAGTCAACAATGTGCAATTTTATTGGTACTGATGGTAATAGCTTCAGACTGCAAAGCTGCTTGCCAGCTTGTTCTCACATTGTATCTACAGTTGAGTAGGATGGAATGGAATGAATGATGTAAATTCAGGAAATAAAATATGTTGAACATTGTGGACCAGCCCGAATTCCATCCATTTATTTTTGAGATCCTATTTGCACTTCCAGTTGTGAATAACTGCAAGTGTTTCCTTAACTTTTAGCAAAGAGTTGCATTAGGATAACATTTGGAATGACAAATGAGGCAGAGAACTAAATAAATCTTCTTCCACATAACTCTGCAAAAAATTTAAGTCTGCTCAGAGGTTCCCCATTGTCCCTTTCTTCCATATCTTTGAATATAATCTTAGGAAAATGACAATGCAATTTATATGCACATTCATTAGTAAGACATATTGATATTGTGTTTA